GGGGGGGCATGTGCGTGTATCCGCAGGCGCGAGAAGGGCCCGAACAGGGCCGAGGAGGCGGGCGGTGGCCGTGACCGCCGGCACCGACGGACCACGGTGCGGTGCCAGCTGCTCGACCCAAACCTCCTTGACCACCAGCGCACAGGACCGTTTCCCCTCTCGGCGTTCCCACACCCCGGCACCCTTGCCCACGCCCAAGCGAGATCCCTTCAAAGGCACGCGCCCCGAGGGGAGCCCGCCTCCCCCCCCCCAGGATGGCCCTTTCTCCATGGCAGTCCCCCTTCCCCTCCCTAGACCCCCTGTTCCCTCTTTTTCCTGTCCCCGCTTCCTCCTCCCCCCCTTCCCGCGCCTTTCTTTCTCCCGCCCGGCCACCCCGTCCACCGCCATGGCCTCCACGTACCGGTCGTACGCGACCATCCCCGACGTCGAGGACCCCTCCATCAACGGCCATCAGCCTTCCGAGCAGGGGTTCTACCAGAATGCCCCGCTCACGACGGCCGAGTCGCGCCCGGGCTCCACCTCCCACGATGATGAGGAGAACACCGGGTACCTGGACGATGCGCAGGCCCTCCTGTCGGATGAGGGCACCTCGGTGGCCGCGCCGGTCCGTTCGGCTTCCTTCTTCTCGTCCTTCATCAACCTGGCCAACACCATCATGGGGTCCGGCATGCTGGGTCTGCCGTATGCCATCTCCAAGAACGGCCTTGTCCTCGGCCCGATTCTGCTGGTTGTCAGGTGCGCGCCTTCCTGGCCCCCCCTCCGCTCCGCTCCTCCTGCTGCCTCGCTTCTTTTGTGCCCTGCTCTTCTGGCCCCCTGCTCACACTCCCACCGCGCCGGCATGCAGTGCTTTCTTCTCCGCCTTCGGCCTCTACCTCCTGGTCCAGTGCACCGATCGCCTGAAGCAGGTCGGCGAAAAGGACACCCCCTCGTACTACACTTGCACGCGTCACTCGTACCCGAGCCTGGCCGTCCTGGTGGATGCGGTTGTCTTTGTCAAGTGCATTGGTGTTGTGCGTGCTCCTGCTCTCCTCTGCCGCCTTCCCTGCCCTCTGCCCTCTGCCCTCGATCATGTCGACTCCCTGCCACACCCTTGCCCCATGGCCCCTGGCCCTTCGCATGTTCATCCCCCCCCCCCCTCCCCGCCCTGCTGACACCCGTCCATCGTGCGCGTGCGCACCCACGCAGGCTGTCTCCTTCCTGGTCATCATTGGGTCCCTCATGCCCGACATCATTACCTTCTTCTTCCACATCGATCCCACCAGTGGCAGCATCTGGGTTTCCCGGGCCTTCTGGGTGCTCATGTGGGGGCTTGTCATCATCCCGACCGCGTTCCTCAAGCAGCTGAACTCCCTGCGGTGCGTCCTCGAAATCCCCTCGGCCGGCGCTTCCATTTGTGTCCCGCCGCCCGCCGCCGCCGACTGACTCTCCTCCCGGCTCTCCCCGGCAATAGCTTCACCTCTGCCCTTGCCCTGACGGCCATCATCTACCTGGTGGGCCTGGTGATTGTCTTCTTCATTCGCGAGCCGCATGTCCCCTCCACCGAGCTGGATCTCTTCCGTCTTGACACCTCCTTCTTCCAGGTGATGACCATTTATGTGTTCGGCTACACCTGCCACCAGAACGTGCGCGCCCGTCTGCGCCCCTCCTCTTGCTTTTTCTTTTCTTTTCTTTTCTTATCTCTCGGCATGTCAAAGCCTCTCCCCCTCTGGGTCCTCACCTGCCCACACGCTTGTGCACTTGCCCTTCCCCTCCTCCTCCTCCTCGCGCGCGCGTGCATGTACCCACCCTCCCCGGGCCGCCCTGCCTTGCCTTCCCCTGTGCAGATCTTCTCCATCTACCTCGAGATCACCAACCCCTCCAAGGGCCGCATCAATGGTGTCATTGGCTCCTCCATCGGTACCGCCCTCGGCGTGTACACCCTGATCTCCCTGCTGGGATACATCCAGTTCGGATCCGGCATCAAGGACAACATCATGAACAACTGTGCGTCCCGGTGCTTCTCCCTTCGGGCCACCGACACTGCCTCCATCGCAACCGAGCCATGCCTCCCTTCCTCCCTCCCCTTCCCCTCCTGGTGCGCGAGGGCGCACCCGGCCGCGGCCTCCAGCTAACCTCCCCTCCCGTGCACGCCACCCAGACCCCACTGATAACACGGCGGTCACGGTTGGCCGCATCTTCCTTGTCATCCTGGTGGCCTTCTCGTATGCCCTGCAGTCGCACCCGGCCCGCATCTGTGCCGACAACCTGTACCAGTCTTTCATGCGCAGCGCCATGAAGAAGGAGGTCGGCTCCCTTTCTCAGGCTCGGTTCTACATCATTACCATCTCCATCATCGCGGTCACCTTCACCATCGGTGCTCTGGTGGAGGACCTGTCCAAGGTCCTGTCCTTCGTCGGTGCCATTGGCTCCACCACCATGTGCTACATCCTGCCCGGCGTCTTCTTCATCAAGATGCATGGTGGTCTCTTCCCGCTCAACACCATGAAGGTCCTCTCGGTGCTTGCCATTTGCATTGGCTGCTTCGTCATGCCCACTGCCCTGGTGTTCATCTTCTACACCCCGCCGGTCTGAAGGGGGCCTCGGGATGGTGCTCCCTCCCCCCTCGCCTGCCCTCATACTGCTTCAGGATGGGAGAGGAGACGTCCGTATGTGTAGGGGAGGAATCCCCCCCCCCCCCCCCCCCTCCGAGGCGTCCCAACGAAGCACATTCCCCTTTCTCTTCCTCCCTTCCTCTCCCCCTCTCTTTCTGTGCCCGCGTGTGCTGTGGCCCTCTCCCTCCCCTCCGCCCTTCCCACTCGCTGTGTGTGCGGATCCAGCGCGCGAGGGCGGCAGCGGCGGCGGCGGCAGCCGGTTCTCCCCCCGTCGTCGCCTCCCCCCCTCCCTTTTTTCCACCCATCCCTCCGTCCATTTTTTAATACACTCAAATAGTCGCATCTGTGTGTCGCAAGCGCGGGGGTCTCCCGGCGGAATGAAGTGACCCGGCAGCATGACGCATGTTCGAGCCGGCTTCCGGTCCATTGTTTCTCGCCCGCGGTTGCCGAGGGCTCAAACCCGCAGGTGTGTAGGGCGGACGCCGTGCCGTGTCGTGCGCGCGCATGTGTGCGCATGCCGTCTTCAGGTAGGGATCTCGCCCGGGGGGTCGAGGAATGGCGACGGGTGAGCACGGGCTAGAACGATCCTCGGTTGAAGAGGGCTCTCTTTCTGATGGTGCTCTTCTCTCCGGTGCCCCTCTCTGCTGCCTCTTCCTTCCCTGGTGTGTTTAGGGGGGAGGCAGTAATCGCGGGGGGGGGGGGGGGGGGGGGGGGGGGGGGAGCGTGGACAAGCAGCAAAAGGCGGGCCCGGGCAGCAGGGCAAAAGGTAAGCCATAGCGACTGGTGGTTTCGATCCACCGACCTTTGGGTTATGAGCCCAACACGCTTCCCCTGCGCCAAGTCGCTTGGGATAGCCCATGCAAGAGGCGTCTCTTGAGGGTGTTTTTCGGCCAGCACGCGTCTCTTGTTGCCATCAAATCACCATAGTTCCGGGCACCGGGTAGCTGCCTAGCCCGCCTAGCTCAGTTGGCCAGAGCATGGGACTTTTAATCCCAGGGTCGTGGGTTCGAGCCCCACGGTGGGCGTACCGTTACTTTTTGCACGCCATGCACGCACCTCAACACGCGAACGTGGCTGCCGCGGAGGGCGGCGGCCGGGGGGGGGGGGGCGCGAGGGACAGTAGAGGACCGCGCGCCCGGCACCGACGAAACAGCCAGCGAAGCCCAAGGCGGAGCCGGGGGCGCACGCAGCGGGAGGCGCGCCAGAGGACACCCAGCGCGTGGACTGCTCCCGGTGCCCACTCCCGGGCAGGGGGGGACTGGCCGTTGGGGCTCCCTCCCCGGGCCCCGCCGCCCGGCGGCGATGTGCCCTCGGGCCTGGTCGGTTGGCTGTTGGCCGGCGGCCTGGGCACAAGGGGGGGGGGGGGCCGACCGGGGGGAGCACTCTGTCCGGGCCCCTGGCGCGAATCTCCCGGCCAAGATCATCGGCCCGCGCCACCGCACCCGGGCAAGGACCGGCGCCGTGTGCCCTCCGGCAGGATGGGGAACTCACGCCCGGGGCGCGCAGCCCTCGCCCATTGGCGCTTCATGCGATCGGAAAGGACCATCCCCCCCCCCGGCCGTGGGTGATCGCCCGTCGGCGCCCGTGTCCCAGGGGCCCTTTTTTCTGGCCAGCCTTCGGACCTCCGGCCGGAATGCCCGCCAGGACAGCCCCCTCCCCACTCACGACTCATACTTACACACATACACACACACACACACACACACATACACACGCACATGCAACTGCCTTTTGCCCGGCCCTCTTGACCCTCCCCGACCCTCTGCCCCCGGCCGGTTCTTCTTCGTGGCGTCCGTCTCGCATTTTCATTCCGGGCTGCGCCTGCCTCTTTCGCACGGCGGTCCTTCGTTGCTCGGAGGTGGCCGGTGCGCTCTTGCCGGCACTTCCCTTGGCCTGTCGACCGGTGCACGTGCATCTCTTCGCCCGGGGGTGAGGGGGGGGGGGAGCGACCTTTGACAGATGGAGCCTGCTGCGGCTGCAGCGGCGGCTGCCGTGCCCGGCCCACCGAGCTCTCCGCCGCGCAAGCGCTCTCCTCCTCCCGATGACATTGGAATGATGGTCGCCCAGACCGCGGGCGACCTGCCGCGTGGAAAACGCGCACGCGCCTCCGCCCCGATGTCCACCGGCGATCTGGGTGCCGGGCCGGGTGCCGTCACTCCGGCTGGGACTGCCTTTCTGGCCCCCGCGGTCGCCGGGATCCTGGATTTGCAGGTGGCCGGCCGAGTTGCCGGCCCGACGCGCCACTCCCTGGTGCCGGTCTTCGATGCGATCTTGCGCCACCTCTGTCCGCCGGGCGACCTGCCCGATGATGACACCTTCGATGTGGTGCACATTGCGCGCCATCCGGCGGTCGCGGCTGATGTGCTGCTGCTCGCCGGGTCGCGGGTGGTTTTCTTGCCGGACGATGCGGCCGGCCAGACTGGCCCTCCTTTGGCGAGGGTGGCCCTCCATGCGCCGGTGCACTTTGTCCCGGGCCCAGGCGGGCACCCGCGGGCCGTGTGCTGCCTGTCGCCGGACTCCAATACGCTGTTCGTGGCCGACGTGGAGGGTGGTCTGCATGCGATCGATCTGTCCGAGCGCAGGCTCCTCAGCAGCCGGCCCCCCCGGGAAGCGGGGCCCATCGCCTCATTGCACTTTCTGTGCGTTGCTCCGGGCCTTGAAGCGGCTCCCTGTGCACAATGTGCCGAAGGTGGGGCCTCCCCCCCCCCCCAGGCCCTTGTCCTAACTCCCTCCCCCCTTCTCTGTATCTCCCTCTCTCGTTGTCCATATCCCAAGCTCCCCGACCGCCTTGCTGGCGCTGATCAGCAGCCCGGAGGCTGTCCAGGCGTGCTTCCTGCTGATGCCCGATACAGCGAGCCCGCTGGCATCTGCTCTTGAGCACGCCTCGGAGGCTCGATTTACACTCCTCCATGTGCCGGCCACGCTCCCACTGGCCGCCGCCATCCTTCCCCTGGGCATGCATGAAGATGGCGCGCGGCTTGTCCTGAACCAGCACCCCACGGCCCCGGGGCTGCTGACCTGGTGGACGCTCCCCTCGGCCGGGGAAATGGCCGCCACGCTGGCCGCCACGCCGGCTCCGATGTCCCTCCTCCGGCCTCGCTTGGTGGCCGAGCAATTTGCCGACCCCTCCGCTCCCGGCGAGTGGCCCCCGGGCACGGGGCCTCCCCCAGCCGGGCCGCTGAGCCCCTACCAGGCGGTCCCGGTCGGGGAGGCCGCCCAGCCCACTGCCCTGCACCGGGCTCCGACAGGCTGGCTGGCGGTCAGCTCCTGTGGCTTATTTGTGGCCGCCGCCATTGCCCCCTCCCGGGCGGCCGACACCACGTACATGGGCTTCTGGTGCACCATCACCGGGACCATGCTGTCGGGCTGGGGGGCCCTCGGCCTCGGTGACTGGTCGCTGTTGCCCGGCGGCTTCCTGCTCGGGATCTCCCGAGGTGGCGGCCAGGCAACCGGCATGGTGCTGGACCGGCTCCCGCCGGCTGGCGGGGCCGTGGGCTCTGTGTGGCGCATGCGCTTGGCCCAGGGGCCCGGGGTGGAGCCCCGCCTGGGGGGCTTTCTGTGCCCCGGTGGCCGTGCCCTGCCCGGCATCCTGCCCGGGCTCTGGCCGGACATGGGGCCCTTGGCCGGTGACCCTGGCGGTGTCTTTGATCCCGGGGCCCCGTGCGGGGATTTCCACCTCTTTCCCTATGCACTGGCATGCTGTCGGGGGTGCGGGCGCTCCGCACCCGCGGCCAGCCCGCGCCCGGGCATGTCCCTCCCGCCGCCCCTGCCGCGCATCCGCCTCATACAGGCCGGGCCTGCTGGCCTGCCGGGCGCTGACATGGTCCCGGTACGCGCTTTGCAACTGTGCTCCGTGGCCGAGTCCTCCCCCGAGCAGGAGTATGAGCGTCATCTGGCCGCGGGGAACTTCCTCGAGGCCCTTGACCTGGCCGACCGGTATCGCTTGAGCCGCAGTCGCGTGGTGGTGGCCCGCTTCCGGGCCACGACAGCCGCCCTGGCCGCCGGCTGCCCGGGCGATCCCGACTCCCGGGGTTCCCTGGCCCAGACGGCCGGCCTGCTGGAGGACTTGGCCGCGCTGGCCTCGGCTGAGCGTGTTGCCCGGCTGGCTCTGGCGGTTCCGCTGGCATCCTCCACCCTGGTGCGTGCGGTGCTTTGCTATGCCCGGGATCGGGTCGAGGGCCAGCTGGCGGCCGAGCTGCCGGCCGACATCCAAGCTGATGATCGCCGCCCCGGGCACCTGGGGCCGAGTCCCTTCTCTCGGGATCCCGGGCCGCGCAGCTTCGACTGGCTCCTCGGCCGGCCATGTGGCTGTGGTCATCCCGCCGGCCGGACCCGACCGGCCAAGCCCGGGGGCCTTGTTCGTGGGCTCCTGCAAGGCGGTGCCACATGGCTCGGCCTTCAGGCGGCCACGAAGACCGGCGACGCCTGCCCCTCATGCGGCCAGCAGCCCGGGCCCGAAGCCGCGGGTCTTCGCCAGGTGCTGGCCGCCATCTCTGCCCAGCCCCCGACCGCGAGCGACGATGAGGGTCAGGATGATGGCGATCACGACGCGGAAATCCCTTCGGGCGCTGCCGATGGCCCGATGCGCGGGCAGTCGCCCGCCGACGAACATGCCAATGGCCATGAGGACCCCCCTCAAGGCGGCTGCCTGGCCAGCGGCGCGAGTGTCTTCCGATTGCCCCGGCGTCAGCCCTCAGCCGAGGTGCTCTTGGCCCATCTGGATGCGGCGCTCTTCCGATTGGGTTCCTTCGAACTGTGTCGGCATGCCCTGGCCGCATGTGCCTCCGGAGATGGAGGGGCTTCACTGGCCGAGCTCCAGGCCGCCTTGCATCCCAGGGGCTCGGCCGATGCCCAAGCTTGGGCATGGTTCCGTGGCCGGTCGGTGACGCAAATCCTGGATCACCTCCTCAAGGGTGTTGTTCGGCCGGTCGATCCGCTGTCAGTGCGGGCCGACCATTCGGCGGTTCTGCTGGAGGCAGCCATGCTCCTGTGGTCGCGCCATGTTGCCGGTGCGTTGCCCGCCTTCCTGGCCGCCCATGTGGGCCGCCTCCCGGGGCCGGGGCTCCGAAAGGTGTTCTAACGTGCCTCTCCTGCTTCCGTGCTCCGATTATTTCCCCGGGTCGCCAGCCGACCGTGCCCTGGCCCCGCGGGTTTTTGACATCCTGGCACGGTTCCCGGCAGCCACCGACGTGGCTGGGCTCCGGGCAGCCGGGGCCGGGGGGCCGGCGGTGCACGATCCCGGGGCTCTGGCCGCCTGGTTCGGGGCCGATGTCCTGCCGGCCCTGCTGGACTTCGACCTTCGCTGGCCGGCCCCCGGTCCCGCGGTGCCCATGCCCGATGGGGGGCATGATTCCGACCACGAGGACCCTCCTGCCGCGGGTGTGCTGCCGGTCGGCCGCGATGCCACCTTCGATTTGATGGACCTCAGGGCCGGCCCGGAGTCCGGGCTGCTGGCGCGTTTCGAGAGTTGGGTCCTCTGCTGGGCCGGGGAGCTTGCCTGTCCGGAGGCGGCGCTCACCTTGCTCCGATGTGTTGACTTCACCGCGGCCGGGCAGGCGGCGGCGGCGGCGGCGGCCGGGGCCACGGCCGGCCCTGCGCCGGCTTCCAGCCGTCTGACCCAAACCCTGCAAGACTTGGGCTCGCGCGGGCTCCTGGCCCTGACCGGCGCGTCAGGGACCGTGCACTTGGCCTCCCTGCTGCTGGGGCACGAAGGTGCCGGCGTCGGTGGCCCTGCATCTGTGGGGCCGGCCGCGGCCGGTGCCACCCACCTGGCCCTGCGGTGCCTTCGTGGCCGGCAGGCCCGACTGGCCCGGCTCCGGGCCTGCCGCAAGCGAGCCACCGAGCTTCAAGCCCTCCGCCGGCGTGTGGAGGGTTTCGGCCTGCCCGGGTCCGGATCGGGCGGCGGATCATGGCCTCCGGGGTTGGCCAATTTGCGCTCCTTCTGCCGGCTCTCGGCCGCCGGGCTGGCACGGCTGCTGGCCGACCTCCTGCTGTCCGCCGGGCGGCCGGCCACCCCGGAGAGGCTGGCCGATCTTGGCGACCTGCTCCAGCAGCTGGCTCAGTGGCGGTGTGTCCCGGTGGCGGACCTCCTGGCGGCCGTATGCCTGGAGCCGGGGGATCCCTCCTCGGGGGGGGTCATGCCGCACTCGCTTCGGCCGCCCGGCCGGCCGGATGTCGAGCGTCTGGTCCTGCCTCTGGAAGCCGGGCTGGCCCTGGGCGAGCGGTTCCTTGGCCAGGCGGTGTCCCCGGCCCCGGGTGACTGCCTGGCCGAAACGGTGCGCCTGCGTTTGCTCCTGGCCGCGGTCCTCGCCCAGGAGGGCGAAGACGGCCCCTGGCCCGAGGCCCTCGATCAGGCCGTGCGTCGGGCCCTGCGCGGGGCCGCTTCGCAAGTGATGCGCATCGAATGCCAGCGCCGGCAGCGGCATGAGTGGCTCGCTCGCCCGGCCGACCCGGCGGCCCTGGACACCGGGCGCTTCCTCCGGGCGGCCAGCGATTCCGAGGATTCCGACTCCGACTGGGCATTCTCCCCGTCGGACGAGTCCCCGGAGTCCGAGGACTCCGAGGCGCCGGAGGGCTCCGGCCACCTCCTCCAGTCGGAGCATCTGACCGAGCTGGCGCTCGGCCTGCCGGCCGGCGTCCTGCATCCGGTCACATGTCCCCGGGTGGATGCCCTGTATCTGCGTCTGCTGGGGGCATTGGCCGATCAGGCACGCCTGGCCACGGCGGCGGCCCTCCTTCGGAAGCATGTTCCCAGCTTGGCCGGGGGTGCCGTGTGCGTGGAAATGGGCGGCCTGGATCCCGGCCGGGTGGTGCGCCTGGCCGGGCGCATCGCCGCCAGCCAAGTGGGCCCCGGCTCGACGGCCGACCTTTGGGCTCGGCTGTCGGATGCCTTCACCTTCTGCCGGACCCTGGCGGTGTGGCCCGGTCCTGATGGCGCGGCGACCGAGGCGCTGGCCCGCCCCTCGGCCGATGGCGATCCCGGGGTCTGGGCCGGCCTGGTCCAGGCCCAGGCGGCCGGCCTGGTGGACGCCGCATATCGAAGGCTCCGGGCCAATGCCACGGTGTCTGGGATTCTGCCACAAGTGGAGGCCACCCTGGCCGAAGCGGTGTGTGCCATTTTACGACACCCCGCACGCGGGGCCGTCATCGACACCGGGCCGCAGGCCGGCACCCGGGGGCGGCTGCTTCGTCTGGCTGCCCGGCGGGCCGATCACCAGCACCTTTTGGCCTGGCTCGCGGGGCAGCTGCGGGTGACCCTGGCCGTGCCGGACCTCGTTCACCTGCTGCCGATGCCGATGGCCGGCACGACCCCCGGCAGCTGTGCCCCCGATGCCGACAGTGAGCATGGTCCCGGAAATGGCCCGGCCGCACCGATGCTTCACGACCTGGAGGGGACCTGGTTTGTCTTGGAGTTGGTGGATGCCTCGGGGGCGGGCCTCTCGGCCGTGGCATTGTCGGTGCTTGCGCGTGCTCGGCTGTTGGGAGCCTGTGCGGTGGCCGTGGCCGGGCAGCTTCGGCGCACCGAGGCGGCCATGCTGCAGGCCATGCAGCCCCCCGCGGACCCGCTGCCCCAGCCGGATGGCCTGGCGGATGTCCTGTGGGCCGATGCGCCAGCCGGGCTGGCCGAGTGGGGTGATCAGCACCGGCGCCTGGGGGCGGCGCGCGCCGGCGCGCGCGCCTGGGCCGCCAGCCGGCGCCTCCTCCTGGACTTCGGCATTGTGTCCCTGGCACCGGCGCCATTTGGCGAGCAGATGCCCCCCGAGGCATTGCTAGATCGGTTCCTGCATGAGTGCCGGCAGCGTCGCCACCTCCGCCCGGAGGATCTCCTTGTCGCGGAGCGGGATTTCTGGGCCGGGGTGGCCGCCGCCACCGGGGCCCGGGCCTGGGCCAGCCAGGCGTCCCCCAAGACGGTCGGCGACGTCGGCCTGCTGGGTGCTTTGCTTCCCCGAAGTCGACTTGCGCCGGAGGACCCGATCACCGGGCGGTATTTGGCCCAGGCTCTTGGGCTGCCGGATGCCGCGCTGCACGAGCGCCTGCTGTTGGGCGGCTTGCTGCTGCCGGATCCCGAAGCGGCCGCCTCGCTGGTGGCACTGAGCCAGCAGCCGATCTTCGCCGACCGGTCGGACGAAATGCTCCCGGTGGTGGGGGCCACGCCAGCCACGGCATTGGCCGCTGCGGCGCATGCGGTCACCGGATCCCCGGGGCTGATGGCCCGGCCGGCGGTGGTGGACGTGGCCCTCGGCCTGGTCGTGAGGGCCGCGGCGACCGCCATTCCGATTGGCTGCCCGGTCGCCGGCGCCCATGACGCATGCCCTGCCGGCGCCGAGCCTCGCGGCCACTTGGGGCGCGCTGCGCTTGGCGGGCCCCATGCCTGCGCCGGCCTGCCGGCTTCGGACCTCTCGGTTGCCCTGGCCACCATGCGGGTGTTGCACTTCCAGTCCCAATGTTTGGCGGCCTCGTCGGCGGGTGTGGCCTTTTCCCGCAGCACCATCGGCCTGGAGGACTCTCCCACCGACTGGTCGGTGCCTGCTTGGGCTTCGCTCTTGGATTCGGTAACCGCTCCGACCGGCCAGTCGTCGGGCAGCCGGTCGGCCGAGCACCTGGCAAGGTATACCCACGCCATTGGGCTCGGCACCGGGCCGCATCTTGGCACCGGGCCCGAGCATGGACTGGTGCTGGATGCCGGAGAGGTGGGACAGCGCGGTGCAGCCGTTGCCCGGTATCTCCTTTCGGCCGAGGCCAGGCCGATTGAGGATCCCCTGCCCGGGGCGCGGCCATCGCTGCGCGCCCTCGCCGGGGAAGTGTGCACAGCGGCGGTGGTCGCGGCCGCGGCCGCGGCGACGGCCGTGCCCACGACCACCAGGACCAGTGTCGGAATTGATGGCATCCCTCGGGACCCGTTGGACCCGGTGGATTCGCTGGGGTCCGCCTCGGCCAGGCAGACCGATGCCCAGCGCATTGTGGCCCATTGCCATGCATTGAGTGGCCTGCAACAGTTGCTGGCTCTTCTCACCGAGGCACAGCACATTTGGCTGGCCTGGCGCTTGGGGCACATGGTGGCCGCGGCGCTGGCGCATCTCCCGGGCGAGTGGGAAATGGCCCAGCCGGTGGCCGTGGTGGTGGCTGCGGCGGCGGCGGCCGCGGGGCGGGCCCTCCCCCCGGCGGCACCCTCGCCCCTGGCTCGACTGGGCCGAGAGTTGGCGGCCCTGCACCAACGGTCCATCCAGCTGTCGGATGCCCTGGTTTCGGAGTTACTGGCGGTGGAGGGCCCGGGCGCGCCGGAAGGCATGGGCCCCAGCGCGGCCGGCCGCCTGGACCTGCTCAGCCTGCTGGCGTTCACCCGGACCGGAGGCCACTCGGCGGCGGTGATTGACATGCTGGATGCCGCACGCCGGCTTCCGAGCCGGCATTTCCAGCTAACTTGGCTGATGCAGTACCAGAGTTTCCTGCAGCGCTTGATTCGGACGCCCGTGCGGCCGGTCGGTGCCCTGCAGCCGGACACCGGTCGCCACGCTGCCCCGGTGGCCTTGGCGAGCTCCCCGAAAAAGAGAAGCCCCTCGACCATGCGGCACTCCCCGCCGGCCGTTCGACGGCCCAGCGTCAGCGCTGCGGCCGAGCAGGCGCTCGATCCCCCAAAGCCGGGGCTCATCCAGCCCACCACCCCACGGTCATCGCCTATCCAGGATCTGGCGGCGCTGGCCGCACCGCCGGCCGGCCTGCTGGGGCTTGTCGCACCGGGCACCGCCTGTTTGTCGGTTGCGATCGAGGGCCAACACGCCCGGCCCGGCACGTCGGCCGCGGCGTGCCTGCTGGATCGACGTCTGGTGGATCCAGCCGCGCCGGGCCTGGCCCGGTGGCGTGCCTGGCTGGCTGGGTGGTTTGATTGGCAGCACCGGCAGCAGCAGCAGCAGCAGCAGCAACATGATTCCTCCCAGACGCCGAGTCCCGGGTTCGATCTGTGGACAGCGCCGGACTTCCAGGGCGAGCGCTTCGCCGATCCCGAAGCCGGGGCCTATCGTTTGGACCTTGCTCGGACACTGGTGCTACAGGGAGCGCCCCTTGGGGCGGGGTTCCAGTACCTGGAGCAGATGCTGCTGCTTGAAGGCCAGCCGCCCCCCCCGCCGAGAGAGGTGGCCGAGCTGGCGGCCTGCGCGTTGGTCCATCGCCTGCGCACGGCCCCGGTGCACGATCTGCGGGAGGATGTGCGTGTCGGCCGGATGGTGGCCCTGCTGGTCGGCCAGCCGAGCGTGGCGGCCCCACTGGCCCGCGCGCTCAGCCAGCTCACCTCGGCCCTGTACCAAGGCCTCAGCGGTCGGGAGTATGATCGCCTGGAGATGATGCTTTCGGCGGCCGAGCGCCTGGCAATTGGCTGCTGGCCGGCACAGCGAACGGCCCTGCTGGCCGAGCGGGCAGCCGCAGCCGCGGCCCCGGGCCCGGGCCCCGGCGAGCATGGCCCACGCGGCCCGGCTGTCGATTGTCTGGCCAGTCTGGCCGCCGCCGGCCAGGGAGTGACCGTGCTCCAGGCGCTTCGGGGCTGGCGAGCCCATTGCCGCCGGGCGGTGGCGGCAGCCGCCGGGCACTTTTCCCTGCCCGGGGAATCCCCCACCGGGGCCAAGCCCGGCCTCCGGGGCTCGGTGCCGGAGTCCTGGGATTTGTGTCTCTTCCTCTTCAGTCGCGACCCGTTGGCTTGCCTTCGGCGCGCTCTGGCCGACGGGTCGTCGCTGATGGCTGGGTCCGATGTGGCCGAGCACTTTGCCACCCTGGGCCCGACCATCCGCCAGGCTTGTGTGCACACTCTGCAGGGCCTGCTTGCTGGGACCCTCCCGGCGGCCGGGGAATTCCGGCCCCCGGGTGTGAGCTCGAGCGTGCCGGATGACATGGGTCCCCTGTCGCCCGGGCTGGCCAGTCGTTTGGTGGCGGCGGCTGTGGGGTTCGCCCCGCTGGCGGCCCTGCCCGAAGCCGCGGTCCTGAGTCTGGCCGTGGAATTGGAGCGCGGGCGGATTTCCCTGGCCCCGGGCGGCGGCGCCCGAGCTGCCCGGCGATTGGAGCGGTCACTGCTCGCCTCGGGGCTGGCTCGGTTGGAGGCTCTGGCCCCGGAGCGGGCAGTGGCCCTGAATGTCCTGTGCGCCTGCTGGGCGCCATTGTCCGCCCTCCGGGCGCGGCTCTACCGGCGTGCCCTGCGCCTGGCCGGGGCCGTGGCCGCGCCGAGCTTCCTGCCGGATGCCGGGCCGGACACGGCCGCGTCGCTGGGCGTCAAGCGGCCGTCGCCCCTGTCCCAGGGCGCCGGCGGAGGCTCCGTGGCACTGGACGGCCCCCCGCGACCGGGGGCGTGGTTTGGCCTGCTGAGCCAGAGCACCGGCCGGGCCGCTGCCGCCGCTCAGCAGGCCAAAATCCGCGCGCCGGCCATCCTGCATCACCTCCGGCGGACGCTTGTGCGCGTGCGCGGGGAGTTGCGCCTCGCGCGACTGGGGCTCGGGGACTTCCGGAAGTTTGTCCGCCATCACCCGGACGCCGGGCCGCGGACCGGGGCCCCGGCCAACATTGGCCCGGTGCTGGCCGAGGGGGATCTCTTCCCAAGCCCCGGGCCCCGGGCGGATGACGACATTCGCCAGCTGCTGGCTGCCCTGCACCGGGCCTTCGCCGAGTCGCTGCTGCTGCTGGGATCGGCCACGGCCCCAAGCTGCCGGGGAGATCCGGCAGCCACCAGCGGGGCGCTGTCCTTCGATTTCGAGCGCCTGGTCAGCCGCCTGGCTCGGCATCATGGCATCGACCTGCCGGGCTTCCGCGTGGAGCTCCTCGGCCGGTGGGTTCGCGAGCCGGTCGCCACGGTGGATGGCCTGTCTCCGAGCCAGCTGCTTGGCCTGGCGGTGGCGGCGTTCGATCGACCTCCGGCCGTGGGACTGGTCGAGGTGGCCACCGAGGCGGCTCACCTCCGGCGCCTGGTCTTCCTGGTGACCACCATGTACCGGTCGCCCGGAGCCGCGATCGGGGTCCTGTGCGCGGCGGCCGGGGACCTGCTGGCCGGCGGTCCGGGCATGGGTGTGGCGCCGATCAGCGCCTCGGGTGCCGCTGGGGCCACCAGCGCCCCGTTGCAGGCTCGCGCGCTGTTGGCCCTGTGCCTGAGCTGGCGCCTGGTTCCCGAGAGTCGGGTGGCCGGTCCGAGCCCCGGGCGGCTGCTGGCCGCCCTGCGCCTGGCCCTCGGGTCGGCCGACATGACCATGTCGCGGTGGCTGCGTCCGGGGCAGGCCCCGCCGAGCCGGTCAGCCCGCGTGGCCCTGGCCCGTCGGGTCTGGTCTCAGCACCAGGAAGGGGACATTGAATCGGCCGAGCTGGTTGCCCGGCTGCTGGCCGATGCATTGGCCGCCTCGCCCGGCCGGGGGGGCGGCCCGGCCGATGGCATGCTGTCGGCCGAGGAGGAGGACATGGCCGGGGGGCCCGGCCGGGCTGGGCGTTTCACCCTGCTGACCCTGCTGACAGATTCGCTTTTGTTGTTGGCCGTGTCCGGGCGGCCGGATTTGCCGGTGGCCGTGGCCCATAGTTTCGGCCACCTGTGGACGGACTTCCCATCGGTGCGTGATCGACTGATGACCACCATACAGTCGGCCCTGCTTCCGGAGGGCCCGGGCATTGGGGCCTTTTTGCTTGGGCGCTGGCCGGCGGCCGGCGCCCCGGTCGCCGGAGCACTGGCCTTCGGACAGGACAGCCCTCCTGCGCGTGGGCTTCTCGGGGCCGGGTTCCTCGCTCTCTCTGGGCCCGGCATCACACACGGGGACAGTCCGCCAGGGAGCCTGGCGGCCTTTTTGGTGCGTCTGCGCGGCGACACCCGCTCTGCCGGCACGCATCCACGCACATGCACGCATATGCACACATATGCGCACATATGCACACATATGCACACATATGCGCACATATGCACACATA